CTCCCTTCCCATGCGCACACCGAGCCACGGATATACGCGTACGCGCAGGATACGTGTACACGTGTGCGATGCTTATAATAAAAGCCGATATTCCACACGCTGAGGAATAGCGATTCCGGAGGCGGTTCAATGCTTGAATGCATGGAATTGAAAATAATGGCGGAGTGGGCGTTCATTGTGCTCAGTGCCCGAGCTTTTTGTCGCTAGCTCTCTCTCCCTCTCTCTCTCTCTCTCGCTCTCGCTCTCTGCCCGATTTTGACGTGGCCGGCCGAGCCACTACACGTCTCGCGGAACGTTGCTCGCAGAAGGAACGGAGAAAAGAGGAACCAACGACTCGAGATATATCCGCTCTCGAAACCGGAAACGTAATGGGCCGGTTTAGCTGGTGGATTCTCGCGGCTTTCTTTGAAATTTTTTAACATATATATGTATATATATATATTGGTATTATTTGTGTTTTGATAAACAGAAATTATAATTGTGGGGAGCAGTGTCGTTACTCTTGTTAGATTAAAGAAGTAAATTTTTATGTAACTTGTTTAACGTTGAAATTGGATGGTGTCTGGTGGGACATTGTCTTCCTTTATTTTTCTCGTTTCAATTCCTCGTTTCATCGCGTGGATAAAAGTCGAGTCGTTAATGTAAAGAAAAGAATTTATCGACGGCCGTAAGCCGACTTTTAGAATGGCTGACGGAAGTCGGGGAATAATTATAATTTAAGGGAAATAATTTTTGGCGGCATTCCAGTGATATTGGTCCCGAGTTGTAAAATCTAAATCTTAATGCTCTCGCTCGAATATTTTAGAATAGCGTGTCATCACGTCGATAATGAAAATCTAGACTTTGAAATTTTTGATCTAAAAAAGATCTAAAAGAAAAATTATACATTACAATTATATTTATTATATTTCTCATTCATTAAGAAAAGCGTTTAATTACGAGAAATTAAAAATCTTACTTACGTGAATATTTATACGAAACAACAAGAAAGTATTTTTTAAACGAATTCAGGTTTCATCATTTTGGAAAATAATTCAAAGGAAATACACCTTAAAGATATTTTTTAAGCAAGAGATTCATTATATATATCTTAATTAACGCGTGAATGAAACTTCGTTTATTGCCAACTTCCTAAAAATTAATTCGCTAAATATCAGATTGTTTAATATTTGTTTCATGATATTGCATCGTTTCAAGGAAAATCAATGGAGAAATTTATTCGAAGGGGCGTGTTTATCCTTTCTATGTAAATGAAATTGTTCGAAGAAATTCTCGAGAGAAGGAAAACACTGGGGTGTTAATAAGACGTCTGTCTATAGGCGGTGATCTCAAAGTGGGACGACAAAACAGGGAGAGCATCACCTGGAGTGTATCGTTATTACCAGATTTCGCAGGATATTACAAAACACATCGGACGGTAGACGTCAGATGGCTCGCGTTAATTAAGCCACCGTTATGAAAAACGGTTGCGGAGAACGGCGGGGTCCGTCGCTCCCGGCAAAACGCCGTCTCGAAACCTGGGGTAGAACGATAGGAACACCGTGATTTATTTCACCATCACAACCGTACGAAACGCAACTGTGCAACTTTAATCCGCGTTAACGAGTCCGAGCGCATAATTTTCTCCGACGAAACGATTCGTCTCTTCTTCGCGCAATGTCTTGTTGGCACGAGGCATATGTAGGTAAAGTGATCGGTGTATCTCTGTTTTCTTTGATACGAGCATTTAACGTTTGGTAAAATATTGCAATGAAAAGTTTCAATTTTGAAATGTTGGTTACGAAGAAGTAAAAATTAATGATGTGTACCAGTGAGAAATATTTTGCAAGTAGAAAAATGATTCGAATTATTGAATTTCACGAAGTAAGTTAGAATGGATATTATTTTTCGAAAACGTCAAAGGAATGGAATAATTTAACATAAATCGACGACTCGCGTAAATCGCTACGTGACCACGAATTTACGAGGGAAACCGTACAAAATTACGGTATAAACTCAAAGAATACCAATTTACGCACGTATAAATTGAATAAAAAATGGCGGTGAGGAAAAATCGGAAGGAAAATATCTCGTAAAAATTCAATATAATTGTACTATTACCACTACATTTTAGCGAAACGAGATTCGAATGATATCCAACGTTAACGATTCCCGCTGGATACTCCTGAATGGCTAATTGCGAAAGAGAGAAAATCACGAATGAAATGAAAGGAAAAAGAAACTCGAAAGAGACAGAACACACATTCTCCTGAATTGCGAAAAAGAAATGGAACGAAAGGAAAACTCGAAGCAGTGAGAGGGAGAGAAAGAAAGAGAAAGAGACAAGAGGGAGTTTGGCGTTAATGAGCGTTGGCGCGCGCCACCAGTATCAGAGAGTGGCGCGCACGCGTGAAAAGAGGACGAGGGAGACGGTAGAGTAGTACGCGACTTATACGCGCGCGGAGAACGAAAACGGCAGCTGCAGCTGCGCACCGCTGCCACGCGCCCTCCGCCGCTCGACTCTCTTCGGATACGATTTTACAGGTCTCTCCTTCTTTCTTTATTTATTTC